CAGATATATATATATATATATATATATATATATATATATATATATATATATATATATATATATACACACTCACACACATATATATATATAATAATAATTAACTTCAGTCTGTTTTGGATCACAAGTGTGACCTGTAAGTGAGGAATAACAGGGTTAAATAAAGATTTTTTATCTGAAGTGTTTTTTCTTCTTTTTTCTTTTCCACTTTTAATCACTCAAAAAACAACTTCAAAGCCCCGCCCTTCTGGCATATGGAAATGTGTAAAGAACTGGCTAAAATGCCATATAACCGTGCTAGGAAGTTAGGTTTAGTCCTGTCAGAATGGATCCTGCCATTCATATCAAGTGCTCAGTGGAAGCAGTAGTCCCTCTAATTCAGCTGGCATTGTCTGTTCACAATGTGCACCGGGAAAAGGCAATAAATTAGACACTGGTTCATCTGCTGCTATGTGCTGGAACAAAGGCATATTTGGGAGGGAGGATTGAAACATGTCACGGGTGCAGATCTATGGGAGACTTCATGGTCAAGTGAAGACCCAGTCAGTTATTAACAGATGAAGAACACATTGAAGACCATAATAAATGTAAGGGTCAATTAGTGAACAAGAGCTCACTGGTAGTATTTCCTCTCGTTTTGACTTACTAAAATAATTCAGGTTGACAATCAGGAAAAGTTTAACCAAGAATTCCAACAACTTATTATCATCATGTGATGTTTCTCTCTACCTAATTTTTATTAGGCCAACTACTTTTACTATTTATTCTTGCTTGTACTTATAACATATTATTCATAATTATATAACTGTTTAATATGTTCCTTAAATGTTTTAGTGTGTACTCCAAACATAATTAAATTATATATATATATATATATATATATGTGTGTGTGTGTGTGTGTGTGTGTGTGTGTGTGTGTATAACATTTGTATTAGTTTGATACATCGTAAAGACTCTCAGTCTTCACTATTTCAGTTTTAAGATCTATTCATCCATCACTACTTTTGAATATGCCCTACTGTGATGTGTAAATGCCTGTATAAATATATGAACATAAATGCTTAATATAGTATATATATATTTTTTATTTATTTAAAACAATTATAAAGGTTTTACCAAGTTATATTGTCTACAAATATGACACAATATTTTAGGATAAATCATACTGATAAAAAACCCAATAAGAAATGTTGTCTTTAGGCAGAAAAAAAGTTTTCATACCTGGTCTTAGTATCGGAAGAGACTTCATTTCTGTGATGACCTGCTCCTCTGTGTCTGGACGCCTTTGAAAGACTGTGAAATGTTATTTCTGTGTGGCATCTACTCCAAAAACTTTAGTAGCCTACCCATGTTCAAATAAAAGAGGTATTAGGGGGAGAGAGAGAGAGATAGAGAGAGAGAGAGAGAGAGAGAGAGAGAGAGAGAGAGAGAGAGGAGGTGCTTCACTTTATCAATATAGTTCATGATTTGATTACGTTTATAGTTTTATCAAGTTTATGTCAATATTTCCATCAATACCAGCTGTCCTGAGAATGCTATATAATAGGTTTTTAAGGCTGCAAATGTGGAAATGTAGTGTTCATACATAAGCATATTTATCAAAAGTGCTCATTTCTAAATGTTCACGTCAAATACAGGACGTCCTCAGTAAAAAAAAAAAAAAAAAAAAAGGACTGCACAGAATGAATGACATAAAACACTTTAATCGTGTGTTTTCTCGGGACGCGTGAAAGCAACAGCTTTCATTACATACAAACTACAACGTCCATATCATCATCAATCCGTACGTTTCCGCGTGCGTCAGGACGCAACGCGCCGGAAGGCGAGTGTGCACTGCGTCTCCGCCGTCAATGCAAACGAAGTAAGAGGCACCGAGAGTCAAAGCTAAAATCCGCATTCAAGACAAGATGGCAGGGTTGCCCCGCAGGATCATTAAGGTAACCGTGAAGTGAGACACACTACACATTTTTAATCATAATACCACGAAATCCTCAAATATCATTGAAACTATCAGCCAAAGAGAAGCGACAGCTGGCTTAGCGTTTGGCACTCTGTTTGTTAGCCACTTCCGTTTCGGTACATTCACTCGTCTCCCGAATATGGGTGGGTTAAAAATACATCCGCCGCTGTGAAAGACGGCGAAGGGCCTATGTCTTATTCCTTACTATTTGCAAGCCAGAATCAAAAGCATTAAGAAATGACAAACGTTCCCACTCTAACTGAAGTGTAAATTGTGAGAGAGGCGCGCTCGCGGTCATTCATTGCTTGCGCTCGAGCTGTTGTGTGTGAGCTCGCGAGCTAACCGCTTCAGAGACGCTAGCTAGGCGTAAAACTTGGTAAATGGTGGAATTTAAGCAGTCACACAATTATTTCCCCAACGATTTCACTTATAGACAGTCATACATCTGTTTTCCTGCGTGCAGGATGATTATCTGGCCATTAAGGATACGATTATAAGCAAAACAATTCGGCTCGCCCGCTTCCTGTAGGCTAGGGAAGCTGTTGTGGTGCTTCTGCTGCTAAATGAGCTAATGACTGCAGGCCCCAAACAGCTGAAATGTCAAATAAAATACAAGAAGAGATAATTAAATAAGACATTAATTGAAGAACAGAACGTCCTCAATGAGAACTGTTGTTTATTCTCCCAGAAAAATTAAACGTGTAACGCTGAATTAAAGGGACAGTTGACCAAAAATTCAGATTTAAACCCTTGTGCAGTTTCAAACCAAAAACAAAAGTTGTATGTCAGTCTGGAACACAGAAGGGAATATTAGACCAAATGAAAGTCTCCGTCTCCATTCACTTTTATTTTATAGAAGAAATGCAGTGAATGTAAATGGGGACTTGAGCTGTCAGTGTCTGATATTCCTAATTGTCTCCTTCTGTGTTCCACAAAAGAATGTGATAATTTTTGGAACAACATAAGATCAAATAACGACTTTTTTTCCCATTTAATATTTTTAAATAACTGTTTACAGTGAACAGATTTAAGGCTAGTGAAATAACACAAGCTGCTTCCTCCTGATAATATAATATAACTCTGAATGCATGTTTCCGCATATTTAAGATAGAAATGAGATGCATTAGAGTTGGCCCTAGTGCATCCTCTGTGCCTCTGCATTTTGTGGGTATATGTGGGTACTTATGCTAATATATAGTCATTTGCACCTGTACATTTTTTGGTCACAGGGAGGATACTGTTAATTGAATTTATTGCATCTATAAATGTATACTTCCTCAGGTTGGCTGGGAAATTAACTGACTAATGTGAGTTGAAGGGCTGGGAATGCATCCTTAATGTCCCCCAAGCATGAGACCATGACAGGGAGCCCCTCTCTTGTCTGTGTTTGCTCTGCATGGTTTTGTCTGTGGGTTATCTGAAAAAATGTGAGGAATTTCATTCTGAGTACAATGTATATATTAAGTTAACTGAAAAACATAGGAATAAATGTGGCTGTGTTTGGAGTTAGAATTTAATCTTTTTTTTATCTGTGTATATATATATCTTAATATAAATTAAATATAAATATATTTTAAAACTGATCGAAAGTAAAAGTGAAGATTTAATTATATATATATATATATATATATTAATATTAGGGATGGGCCGATACTGATTTTAACAAACACTTATTGGCCGATACCGATATTTGTCACTTCCTCTCTTATTTGAAATGTTGGCATCAAAATAGATAGTATTTTGATCATGTTTTAAATCAGCAAAGTTCAAAAACACCTGCATTAAATTATACTAGCAGTTTTATTGCTGCGTCATCAAATAATTTCTAATAAACATGGATTGGATCCATTTAACATTCAGCAGGCTTACATAAATACAACAGAACAAAGATACATATTAAATAAACAGTGCTTTTTAGGTAGGTTTAACCGTTTTCAGGTACAGAAATAAAGTAAACAAATAAAAAAAACGTATTATGATTAATCTTCTAATTTGTTTTTGTATACATTTGAATATTTTTTGCAAGTTAAAATATGTATGGGATCTCCTTTATTAAGGTGGGACTCTTACGGGTTTTCTAGTGCAAAGATACATATTAAATAAACAGTGCTTTTTAGGTAGGTTTAACCGTTTTCAGGTACAGAAATAAAGTAAACAAATAAAAAAAACGTATTATGATTAATCTTCTAATTTGTTTTTGTATACATTTGAATATTTTTTGCAAGTTAAAATATGTATGGGATCTCCTTTATTAAGGTGGGACTCTTACGGGTTTTCTAGTGTACGTCGGAGCTAACGTTATATGGGTAATGAAAGCACGCAGTTCTTCGGATTTAAAGTTTGTCCGTTTATTAAGCACCCCCCGAAAAGACACGAGATCTGTATATGTTTGTTTACTGTTAGTTGTAATAAGTGTTTTGTGTAATTCGCTGTATGTTGATGATAATGAAACCGAGAGAGAGAGTTTAATGTGCACTTCTCGTGCTGTGTTTTGTTTAGCTCTTGAAGGTGAAAAAGAACGCAATAACCTTAAAACATCAGTGAAATTTTGGTCCTCATTCAGATGAGGTCCACTACACTTATGAAAGTTACAAAAGTTATTTAGTCAAGAATAGTGTGCCATCTTTTATTTGATTAGCATTAAAGTGCAGACAGCAGCGCTAGGATTATGCAACAGACATTATACAGCTCAGTGCCTTCATGCAGTTAATTAATAAACCATAGGTTTGTTATATCGGCCTTTTTCCTGATATAGCCGATATGCCGATGGTTGTAAATTAAGAAAAAATCGGCTGATAAATATTGGCGGCTGATACATCGATGCATCCCTAATAAATAAATATATATATATATATATATATATATATATATATATATGAAGTTCATTTGCAAAAAACGATAACGATAAACGATTTTTTTTTTCTCCAGAAATCACGTTTTTTATATTTTGCATTAATCGTAATTAATGCGTAATATCAATCAAACTGCAGTTGGGTTGTTTTGATTAAGTAATAATAACTTAAACAAATACAGGTAATTTACAAAATTGAAGTTCATTGAAAGTAGGGCTTTGCGATATGGACAAAAAAAGAAAGAAAAAACGATTTCTTTGATCAATTTTGCGATTTCGATTTTAATCACGATTTTGACACACACAGACATGCTTTACAGTCATAAATGCATTCAGTGTGAATTTGAAACATATTTCCAAAAGAAAACCAATTAGAGCTTTATCAAAAAGCTGTAACATGTCTCTAGAACAGACATGAGGCAAAATAATCAAGTAAAGGTGTAACTGTCTCTAGTAGGGCTGTGCAATATATCGAAATATCGCAAAAGTACATATCGCAATATGCATATCGCTACGGCTTGCAATATTTGGGGCCATGAACAAAAGACAAAGAGAAAATCACTCACTGCTCTTACCTAAATAATTTTTGTAGCTTAAATAAGAATCAGTGCATATTGAATTCAAAGAGTAAATACTAAGCAGTGTTTTATTTTTCCGTTTTATTATTCAGTTCCTAAACTCATGTTAAAATGATTACACTAATGTTAAAATGACATTTTTATGTAATGCTAGAGTAAAACACTACCGTTCACTTTCAGAAGTTGTTTTGGGGGTGCTTTCTTATTAGAATTAGAATCAGAATCTGAATGAGCTTTATTCACCACTTAAGTGTGCGCAAACACAAAGAATTTGTTGTGGTTTTACGGGAACTCTTGGTACATACATACAAATAACCATATATATATATATGACACAAGATACTTATAGAAGTTCACAGAACTGACTCAGCAACAGCTGAGTAAAACTCTTTTTTTTTTTTTAAATCTGAGCATGTGGCACTTTAAGCATTATCGTATCGCAT